TTAATTTGTTATTGTTGACTACTACTTTTGTTGATACTTCATGAATTGAAACCATAGCATAGTGTTAATTTTAATAAATGTTATAGTTACTGTGTTTATTTTGGACACGTTCATCTATTATTGATATTTTAAGATATTAAGTGAAAGGAGTGGAATGTTTGTAAAGACTTAAGAAACCTGACCTTTTACCTCAGCTTCACCCTAGAAGAGGAAGCTGTTACCCCCTGAACAGCTGCTACATGTTTTTTTCATTTAGTTAGTATTTGCCAAATCCCTGTAGCACAGTTGGCATTAATTGCTGTCTTTTTTTTTTTTTCTTTTTTTTTTTGAGGCTATAGTGAAGAGGCTAAAGACTGGAAGCTATTTTACCTCTCAGCATGAATGTGCTCTACTTTTTCATATTATCAGAGCTGTTTTAGATCAGTCTTTGTCATGGAGATGAAACTTCTGTTTTCGGGATTGGTCATTTCAGGGTGTTTTGAGGAAATAAAATTATCTCCAAGCTAATGATACCATTTAAGCATTTTCACTGCATTTTTAAAAGATGACAGAGATAAATCATTTTGTCACCTTGGTGTTCCTATTAAACCTTAGTGTTCTGGGGTTTTAGCTATAGATGTTTTTTTCTAGCTTTACTGTAGATTTTTAACATGCCCTAAAATTCTCAAATTGATAAGTTCACCATTCTGCTATATCAGGCAGTTAGCATGCATATTCCTTTGCTTTAATGCTCTTCTTTGGGCTCCTCTTGAGGGAGTTTTGCCACAGTTTGTGGAACAATTGATTATTAGATTAGATTAGGCAAGTGTGTGTGCGTGTGTGTGTGTGTGTGTGCACGTGCACACGTGTGTGTATACCCTTCATTTTGTAGTTCCATGATAATAGTATTAAATATACAGTTAAACTTTTCTTAAACTATTTTCCCTTTTTCAGATGGTACTTAGATGGCTATCACAGCTAGTCTTCTTACTATAAGTAGACTCACGTGGATGAGGCTGCGATTGCTAACAAGAGTATATCACTTTAAAACCCTGGCGTTTGAAGCCAAGATTTCATGGGATCCTCATAAAAAGTGCATAAATCATTACATCAATGCACTATGATTACAAGCTTGTATTTAGTGTTGTGTTACACAGCTCTTCCACAATCTGAAACAGCGCTGTTCCCAGCAGTAAATTCGAATGATTTGTAATATCAGTCCTACCTTACTTTCCACCTGGCACCTTCATATGTCTGGTTTTTTTTATATGAGTGTCTTAATTATGTGAAGCAACCTACAAACCATCAGTAACTGTTAAGCAACTCTGTTTTGTGTACATATGTGTGTTAGCATAAAACTTATATAGTTCCTTGGTTTCTTTGTTTAATAAAACTATAGTGGAAAGATCATTAAAATGACAATACTCTCCTTGCTATTAATTACAACTTATCTTGTTTCCTTGTTAACGGATGCTTCTTACTACTGGAGGAAATAAGTACTTTCTTGGTTCTCCATCAATATTAATTCTCTTAAGATTCTGTATGCAATCTTATGAAATAAAATTATAGAGAATTAAATGTTTAGTTATAGTAGTATTTAAAGGATACTTTTGCCCACCAGTCAATCCTGATACAGAGCACTGAGTAGGCCTTAATTTTCTTGACCAACTTTTTCTTTTATATTCACATGTATAGGGAAGTAAATATGTGCATATTACGTATTCAACTGTTTAGAATTTAGTATCAAGTGTGCTTGGGGATGTCAGAGAAGCCTGAGTTAAATGAACTGATTGTTAATGGAGGGTTAGGAGTCAGAAGGATGAAAAATTGTGGTGATAAAGGAGTGACATTATTGATTGGGCTGCTGTGAACATGGAAATAGCATGACTATGTTTTAGAAAAATCACTCTGGCAGATACAGAAAGGATGGATTAGAGGAAAGGAAGAATTCATTTTTAGGGAGTTACTGTCTTGGCAAGACATGATAATGGCCTCACCTGCAGGAAATGGAAAGTTAAGGAGGTGGATTTCAATGGCATTGAGCAGACTTAGTGACTATTTGGGGAATGGGGGAGGTTACAAGCAAGGATAAATCCTAAGTTTCTGTCCAGGGCAACTGGGTGGATAGTAATACCCAGATCCGGAAGAGAGGGGGTAAAATGTGTTGGACCAGCACTCCCAAGCATGAGAAAATCTTTATTTTTACCCATTGTTCTTGTATAGTACATACTCTTTCCTCCACCCCACCCCTGCTTACCTAGCTCTCTCTTTTCTAGGACTCAAAAGTATTTAGCAGTTATGAGAGTGGGAATCACCCTAGGAATTCTTGGCTGCAACCAACCAACAATGTGTGATGAATAAGGGCTGTATTTTACGCAGATGAGTTTCTCAGGTGGTAAGAGTTGTCTCCAGGAGCAGTTCTCTTCCTGGTAGGGAGACACTTTTCCAAACAAAAATTTCCTGTATAAATTTAGGATACTCTGTTTGTAGATAGTAAGGGGAAGTAAAGAGTTTTTCCTGAGTCTGCTCATTCTCAGTTGCTTTTAGCTCAAAATATTCTTATACCCTGCAAGCACATCTACCTAATTCTTGGAACTGTAATCTCAAAGATCCATCCTGGTTGCTGAGCCTGGAATTTCCTTCCAATGATGGTTTGCAGGATTGCAGTTTTGAGAGGTTCTAATCCTTTTCTCTCTAGCCTTTTCTCTCCATGGATATCTATGCTTTTGATCAAGTTGTTGTTCTACTTGTGTTATACATTTTACTGTGAAAATGAGTACCATGTTTCTGTAATTATTGCACGTATTGTGACATTTTACATACCGTGTCCCATGTTCCATAGCATACGATGCCAACATTTATAACTTTGAGTAATTACTTCATATTTTTTTTTCAAATCTTCACATATATCTTCCCTTGAAAATCAGAACTAAATAATCAATAACTAACTACCCACAACAAATTTAAACTGTAACATTGGTTTCTTCTTTGTTTGTAGTTCTAGGTAGAACCCTTAAAATGAGTGATAAAGGATAGCATTTATAACACTGTCTTTTGCCCACTCTCTCCTTGGAGTGCTTTAGAAATACAATGTTGGAAATACAAATAGGTGATGTGGCTGGAAGTCTTGTTTTTTGTTATGTCACCTAAGTTGTTTAAAAAATGTGCACAGTAGTTTTTATAGCAAAGTCTCAGAATGCGTATAAAGGACACATTCACTCTTAGAGGCGTTCTTTCAAAGATTTTGAATTTTTTTCTTAATAATTATATTAGTTTCTTCTTCACCATTCAGTGAAGCTATTCTGCCTAATGCCACTCGTGCCTTTTGTTTTTGGTGCCTGTGTGTGTGTGCTAAACTAATGCATACATTTTTTTTTTTCTCTTTCATCTACCTCTTTTAACTTTGATTTTTTTTTTCTTTTTGGAAATTCTCATGAGTGTCCTCGTGAGACATGTCCTTCTAGCTCTTAGTTATTTGCTCTGTTTTTTTTAAGTATTATTTATTTATTTATGTTTGGCTGCGTTGGGTCTTCGTTGCTGCACGCAGGCTTTCTCTAGTTGTGGCGAGCAGGGGCTACTCTTCCTTGTGGTACACGGGCTTCTCAGCAGTGGCTTGTCTTTGTTGTGGAGCACGGGCTCTAGGCACACGGGCTTCAGTAGTTGTGGCACGCAGGGGCTCAGTAGTTGTGGCTTGCAGGCTCTAGAGCACAGGCTCAGTAGTTGTGGCACACTGGCTTAGTTGTCCCGCAGCAGGTGGGATCTTCCTGGACCAGGGCTCGAACCCATGTCCCCTGCACTGGCAGGTGGATTCTTAACCAATACGCCACCAGGGAAGTCCCTAGTTATAACTTACCTACTTCCCCCTCCCATCTCTTTTCATTTTTGAAATTTAATTTGTCGTTTTTCCCTCCTCGAATATCTTCCATCATATTCTTTGCTAAGCAATGTTCTTTTCTTTGAGATCCTTTAATTCACCCTTTTTGATGATGGTAATTTATTCATCTTTACAATATTTGTTGAAGGCATAGTATGTGGTTGAAACTGTGCTAAGGTGCTAGGGATGTAGTGATGGACACAAAAAGGCTCTCTGACATACACCTTTTAAGGACAGAAATAATTAAGCTGTACATATAGTACAAGGTGATAAGAGCTGTGGCTGAATGAAAAGTTCTGAGTTGTTAAGGGACCTCTGGAAGCACATAGAAGAGACTTCAACCAAGATTGGATTGAAGAATTCCTGCATGTGAAGTAGTCAGGCAAAGGGGACATGATGAAGGCAGAAGTTTTCCAGGGAGCCATGGCCCAGGAGAGAGGGAGAGCGAGAGATCGAGAGCGAGAGCGAGAGATCGAGAGCGAGAGCGAGAGTGAGAGCGAGAAAGTGTGTGTTCAGGGTCCTTTATTAGTATTGAAACTGTTTCACTATGTATATTTATGTTACTTTCTGTGCAGCTACAAAAACTTTGGAGGTTTCTGTTTATGTTTTACCTCTGCTCAAAAATAGGACTTCTCTATTCTACTTTCGTAATAACTTCCCACATGCCATAATTCAGCTGGTAAATAATCGGTGATTTATACCCGTTATTGACTAATTTTAGGTGCCTGGGGCAGGTATGTAAATGCATTTCCAAGTTTGTGAGTGAGAATTGATATGTGTGTTTCTCCTTTTATGGGGAAGTCAGAATGTGATGATTATAGTGTTTTATTGGCAAACATTCAATTTCAGTTTACTTTCGGTAAAGAACGAGCTGGCTATATATATTACATTATGCAATTGTGCTAGGCAAAGACTGCTTTAATCCGGAACAAACCATAACCTGGATTTTAAATCAGAGGTTTATGACATTATGAAGATAAAATGGGCCTTAATTAATAAATGGTCAGCTCATTTTATAGATGAAGAAACTGAGACCTAGAGAGGTTAATGAAAGAAAGAACTGTAAATTAACTGTGATGAGGATTTGTGTGTGTGATGTTTGTTTTTATTCTGATACTTTTGAGAATAACTATTCTACTTGTTTGCCATTTCTTTTGTTACATAACTTATATAATCATTTTTTCATTAATAATCTAGCAGACATAGTGTATAGATTACTTTTAAGTTGAAAATTAAAGAACTATTAAAGTAGGAGATGTTTGAACCTCAGATTTTTTTTTTTTAACTAGTGTGACCAAAACTAAAAGTTAAGGAATTCTAGAGGAAGGAAGTAGAGATTGTTTTGTATTCAAATGTCTTATGGGAGAGCTTAAATAAATTGACTTATTTTTGTCATCTACTTCCTCTCTTGTAAATGAATAAATTTCTAAATGTTGCTCATCTTTGCTAGGGATTTTTTTTTTGTTTGAGGCAGAACAGTTTAACTTAATATCACTATGTTTCTATTTAAAAGGCAATGTAAATATCAGTATCCTTCTTTAACCAGTGAGGACCTTGAGGGGCTCTAAGATTGGATAAAATCATTTCTTTAAGTTCTCTCAGTTAGTAAGTAACAGCTGATGTCAGAACATAGTGACATCAGTGCTCTGGTTCCACATTCTTTCCATCCCTCAGAAGGAGAGGAACAAGAGGAGGGAGTAAGGAGAGAAGGAAGAGGGTGTAGGAGGAAAAGGAAGAAGAGGAGGGGTGGAGAGAGGAGGAAGAATGTTGCTTGTTGTGTTTATTATTCACAATGTTTAGCACAGTCATACAGTATTGCTTTGAATCTTTATAACAATCTTCTGAAATTGGTATTTTACATTTTTTTCCCCAATATACAGTTGAGGAAACTGAGTCTCAAATAAGTTATATTCCTCGTTCATAGTTACACGGCTAGTACTAGAGCTACTCCAAAGCCTGTCTTTCTACCACTGCACAAAACTGATTCCCATGCTGTCACTTACTTCCCTGTATTTTTTTTAATGGACACTGCAAACGTCACTTTAAATTTTATTTTATTTCTATAAGAGAAGCAGATTGGGAACAGTAACAAACAAACAAAACTCTGGCTCTGCACCATGGTGTGTTGAACACTATTTGGAGGGGGGAAGTGTAGAAACGTTTCTGGACTAAAGTGAAAGTTGGGAATTAAAAGTTAACATCAAAATTGAAACAAAGCCACATTTTGTGAAGTGCACGCTAATAGCAGTCCATTCGATCAAAGGATGTGATCTCACTTCACAGTAAAACAGGTCCTGCAAGCCCAGGTAACTCAGGAAGCAGAATGGTAATTATTCACAGAAGAAAGCAGGTAGTATACTGTTACATTACTACAGGAGAAAGTCAGAAGGTCACAAAGCTTACAGGGTAACTGACACAACTGAAACTGCTTGGCCCCCTTTAAAAAGAAATAATAAAATGGGAGAGAATGAAGCAAATTTACCTAACACAGCTTTGCAAGGTAAGTGCCAACAGCTTCTGAAATGGTAGCAATCAGACGTGTAAGTGGTGTCGATTACAAAGTGTGTGTATGTGCTTGCGCGCGCCGCCCCCCTCCCCGCTGAGTTTCGAGGTGTGCTTTGAAGGTGGGAAAAGAGGTGGGGATTGTTGTTTCTGAAGAAGCAGCTGTGTCGGTTTTGCTCAACTACTCAACCTACACAGAAACACCAATTTGGTGGAGTAGGGAAAGCCTTATCCTTACTCCCCACTGTAGTGCTGGAGAAATGGTACAACCTACTTCCAGTGCATTTTCATGTTAAACTTTTGCTAGCATTGGAAGAATATCGATTTGTGTCTCTGTGGGATTTTAATTTGTAATCAGATTTTACCATCTCTGGGGTTTACCAGCTAAGTGTCCTTGTAATTAATATAACCATTTTTTTTAAAGGTAGAAAACAAGTCTCAGAGGGCAGCGTATCGTTAGGGAGAGCAGTTGGTTTTACAGGTTTTACTTCATCAGATACCTTTGTCCTTTGAAGGGACTGGCTTTGTTGACATTGGCTTGACTAAGCTTATATGGTTAGGCTTGTTGATAGACACAAATACAAGTTCTCTTAACACTTTCCACTTTTTTGAATGAAGAAAGTTCCTTTTAAAAAAAGAAATAGAAAATGGACTGAACGCGTATTTGTTGCCATGATTTCTAGTAGTCTTCTCTCTTATGAATTATTTACCACCTTTACAAGTGACATTTTGAACAAGGTATTTTTTAAAAATCTACTTGATAATGATATTTTTATTTGTTTAATTATGTTCTTGTGAAGCTACCAACAAGAAAATCCCCAAACTACTCAGTTTTCCATTAAGTACACATAACCAAACATGTAAGTACATCTGTGAAATACAGCACACCTGAGAATAACAATAAGATGATCATAGACATGCCTGGTCATAAAAGTATATCACCCATTTTTATAGAGTTAAATAATCTTCCAGAATACCTGTTTTTTTCTTTATTTTCTTTAATTCTTTCTCTACCTATCTTGCTTAAGAATCCCAGAATTTTATTTCTATTTTTGCAGGTTTCCTAAAAAAATTTTTTTTGAAATATTGCATAAAATGCTATTAAAATCATTTTTAATTTAAAGATTAATTTTAAAAGTTATTTAGTGCATTCTATTGAAGAAAAACAAGGTAAAAGGCTCATTCAGTATAACTCTATGAAATAATTTATTTGTATGTGTTTTATGGACAAAATGATATTATGTACATGATTATAACATATACCTTAACTGTCTCTGCAGTATTTTTCTGTGGAAAAGTATATGGGAGGCATCTAGGTTGTTAAAGTTGCTCGTATAATAATGATTTTGTATCAGATGTATACGACTATTTGGCAGCCCCCTGAATAGCTCATCCTAGGCCTTGTGAGTTCATCCCCTGAGTCTGTGTTTGGGATTGAAATAAACTGAGGAGTAACCTGGCCTCTCCCCTCTCCCTTTATCATCCCTCTTTGTGTCAGGATCAGAGGTAATATTTGCTTCTTATTTTAGAGTCCTAGATTGTATATAGATCTTCTGTTGTTTTGGGTTTTTTTCTTTTCTTTTCTTCTGGCCCTTTTATGTATGTTATGATTCTGGTAATATGTTCCACTGTGGAAGGGTAACTTTCCCTTCCTCCTATCTACTGACTTTTCCAATTATTTACAGAATTAATAATTAGCATATATCAGAAAAACATGCATAAAATTTAAAACAAGAGCTATGATAAATAATTTGAATGTCATGGTTTGAGTTAGAAAACAATGTGCCTTGGTTCATAGTTGGAGAATACTTGTGAAATCAGTTCTATCCTGGGGTATTTTCCTTTGTGCACTCTGTGAAAACTTTTCAGTAGGAATGTGTGCTCTTCTGATCTTATCTGAGTTGAAATGCATCCTTGGTAGGTCTACAAATAGTTCAGATCTATCTTCTTGGAGTGTTGAAATGCTTCCATTCCAGACATATTTGCCTTAAGATTATTAAGTGAACCTATTAATCAGTGAGAATTAATGAGAAACAAAGATGCTTCACCTTGGTTTGAAATTATTTTGGGATTTTTTTTTTATATATATAAAGGAAAGTGGTATGGAGATAACTTGTACCTTTACTTGTATGTGTGAAGGTAAGAGATTTTTGATGTTTGTTTAATATCTTATAAGACAAATCAGGATATATCCTGGAGTCTTTATTTATGGGGTGCTCTAACAGTATTCTGTTTTCTATGCAATACCCTATCCTATATCTGAGCTTGAGTTTAAAAATTACCAAAGTAAATGAAAAAGACATTTTGAAATGTTGTTTAGTCTTGCCTTTGACTTAACAGCATTTATAAAAGATTCTGAAGTTCTCTAAAATAATACTAATTATTGTCAGCTCTGCTTACAAATGAGTGTTCTCTAATAGAAATGACTATATTCAAATGTTTTGTACATTCAACCTATGGGTGATAGGTTTAAGAGTTTTGGCTATGAAGATAATAAGTAGATAATAAACAGAGGATTTTCATTAGAACTCCATCTTGTGCCTTGAATAATGGTTTTCTAAGGCCATGTATCTAGATTGTCTAGATTCATTGGACCATCTCTAATTACAACTTGGAGCGCTAGCCATAGACGTTCAGAAATTATTCATTTTAGCACTACATCCTTTAGGTCTCTGACCCATTATTAGACCCAGGGAGCTGGTTGATTGTGCCCTGGTTAGTGGAGCCCTTAAGCTATCAACAGTTAATGTTTCCAATGGTATTGGGAACCTATCTTTTCCTGAATGAGAGTGAAATCTTTCCAAGGTTATCTTCAGCTTAATGTGAACAAATCTCAATTATCTTTTCAAGTATAAGAAGCAAACTCTCCCTTTCAGCCTCAATGATACAGTAACTCCACAGACATTTATGTAAAAATTTCTCACATGAAGGTTCATAATATTCTCTGAATTCACAAAATAGAATTATCTTGGGGAGGAGAGAATACTAGAAAAAATTTTTTCTAATTTTTGAAAATACAAATAAAATGGACAAATCATATGGCATCAGGAATAGGGGTAAGTGCTTTCTGAGCATTGTTATTTGCTGAGGAAAGAAAGCAGAATTTCCTTACATAATATCTATAAACACATGTACCACTGAGTGGCACGTTGTCAGTTTGTGACAGTAGTGAAAGGCCATGGCTGGGATGACAGGAGGGTGGAAACTCCCTTCTTGGCCGGGAGTTATCTGGAAAATGCCTTAGGCTAAGGCTCTCAAAAGGCTACCCTTGGGCACGTAAGGGACCCTTACCTATTGTCTCTCAGGAAGGACAGGCATTTTCTGCTTCTCCCAGGGTTCTCATTAACAGGCAGGGCAGACCCTAATCAGAACTAAAATAAATAAATAAATAAGTAATAAGGGAAAGACTCTCTCACTACCCAGCTGTGTTCCTCGTCCACTGAGTCCCTCCTACCTCAGGAACTCAGCCCCATGAGCTCTTCTTTCTCTCCTCCTCTTCCTTGGTCAAAACATGTCCAAGGCCACATGCCTCTTTGTAAAGAATATGAGATACTAATTTATCCTCAGAATTATTCGAATAACAGGAATCTGAGTTCTGTGCCAGAACAACCTTGTGAGAGGAGGTTTCTTTGACTGGGGTCTCCCCTGGGCTACTCAACACAACCTCATCACTCAGGCTGCCTACTTCTCTGCTGCTCGGATGTTTTCCAGCACCTTCTAATTAAAGCCCTTCTTCTTACCTTAGTTCTTCTTAGTTCTCTAGATTTAGGAAACCCCTATTCTAAAGGCTACGAAAGACTAGAACTCAAGGGGAAAAGATGTTTCCAAGTACAGAAGGTTGGCTAGACCGTTTCAAATGCAAGGCCAGTTCTAGGTAGCCGTCAGCAGAGAGGAGAACTCTTCATCAACCCACAGAGGGAGAATTTGGCTGTCAAAGCTAGGGAAAAGAAATCTGTAGAATGTTAACATTTTCAAGGTAGAGAGGAGCTTAGAGGACCTCAAGTCCAAAATTTTTACTTTGTAGAGAAGCGAACAGAGATCCTTTGAAGGTACAAAAATTTCCCTTGGTTTCTCAGAAGCAGTTGCCAGAACCCAGATCTCCACCCTAGCTGCCTAAAGCCTATAATTTGATGGAGGAATTTGGCACATTATTTTCTAGGGGTATTTACTTTCCTATTTCAAGAAGGGAAATCAGGCTTGTAAATGCTTTCCATATTGACATATTTAGTTTCTACAGTCATCACCTGGAAATCGTTGTCCAGTATTCAGTCTGGCTTTTATAGGACTGCTCCATCCAGGCTCAGGTTCTCTGTTGACTCCAAAGAAGTTACTTTGGCTTTTGAGACATTTACTTATCTTTCATCACAACAAGGAGGAATTGGCTTGAAATTCCATAGGCACATGCAACAGATGTTTCTCATGATACAGACATTTTTTAAAAGAAATTATACTTACTCTGTTTGGCTAGTGTAAGAAAAAAAAAAAAAATCCAGGTGGGAACGTACCTTAGTGTCTGTGCTTCTCAGTTGCAACCCAAGGGCAGCAGTACTGCATACCCCAACCAGTATACTGGCTTGGTGTGCGTGTTTACTTTCTATGATGGGAAAAATATCTCTGCGTTCATCATCATAAACCATGCCTGTGAGTGCTTTGAAAGCTTTCTAAAACCCCAAAGAGAACTCACCAGTTTGTGAATCTTCCTTCCCACCCAATAGAACTTTAATAGCATTTTCAATTAAGAGAAGTGCACAGAGGTCTTGTGTAACCTATTTGTTTTCTAGGAGGAAGCTTTCACCAGCTCTGAGTGAGAGGCTGGTATACTTGAAAACCTGAGGCACTTTGGAAATGAAATTTAGATATTGAGGTAACAGGGCATTTTGGAGTTGAAATTTCCAGAAGCTCTGCTGGAGAGGTCTTATAATCTAAGGACAAAATCAAGCATAATCGGAGCAAGTAAAATTGCAGAGAATGTCAAGGCATGAAATCCCAAGTGAGTCT